AACACTCTAAAATAATTCCTTCCAGGTGTGACCTCTCAGTGGTAGGACCTGGTGTTGGGACAAAGGTATTGAAAATACTTGGCAAAATGAGGGCTTGGAGGTGTGGCTCAAGTGGTAGAGCGCCTAGCAAGCACAAAGCCCTGAGTTCAAACTCCAGTACCACCAACAAACAAAAAATGAAAGGATCATGACCTCTGTGTCTCTGAGGGTCTCAGTAGAGTCTACAAATGGGGAGGTGGTCTGATGGGAATGCAAAGAGTATTTTGTTTCTGCTCTTGGATCCCATACATGTTCATAATGTTTGCAGCTGTACAGAAGCAAGACTTTTTTTTCAGTAATGTACCAGCAGAACATACTGACATTAATAAGAAGTTACATGTTTGTCTATGTATAGAAGTACACAGAAACACATGAATGAAGACTCATTATGTTGAAAGAAGTTAATTTGTGGTATTGACATTATTACCTTTATTTAATTTATTTTTTTATTCTTATTTTTCAGAATTTTCTACAGGGAATGTGACTTATATAAGAAAAAAAAATTGTTTTGTTTCCTTTTTGGTGGCACTGGGGTTTGAATTCAGGGCCTCACACTTGCTAGGCAGATGTTCTATCACTTGATCTACAACCCTCGCCCCTTATGCTTTGGTTATTTTTGAGATAGGGTCTCGCATTTATGCCTGGGGCCAGCCTGGTCTACAATCATCCTATTTATGCTTCCTGCATAGCTGGGATGACAGGTGTGAACCACTGTGCTCAGCTTTTATTGGTTGAGATAGGGTCTCGTGAACTTTTTGTCTGGGTGGGTAGATCCTCCTGATCTCTATCTCCTGAGTAGTAGAATCACAGATGTAAGTCACCACACCCAGCCCCCAGACAGAAAGATTTTTAAGTATTGTACAAACACAAGGCAACAAGCACTCTCCAAGTGAAGTCACATGGCTAATAGCAATCAGGAGGTCTGAGTATCTAGTTTAAATTGGCTTAACTTATCCCTTGCCCTAGCATCCCAACTCTGTGTCTTGGAGATTAATGGCCCACGTCTAACTGATGTGTTGTGGTTTAAATATGAGTGAATTACTGATTTCAAATCAAGTACCTACAGGAACCTGATATCCATGGCTACTGCCTGACATCTGTGCCCCTACACCTCCCCATCAGGTGGGATAGAGTCTAATTGGCTTGAGCTTTTCCAGGCAATCCCCTGGGTATCACCCCATGTTTTCCTGTCTCCTCACCTGGATAATATTCCATAACTCCCGCTTCATGAATTTTGTCAAGTGGCCCCTTAGTTCTCTATTCCCGTGTAATCCCAGTTATGCATCATTTTATTGTTCCCATTTGGAGTTTAGAAGATATCTTTCAGAAGTCTGAGATTTTTCTGCCACTTTTCCAGCTGGCTAACTACAGGGGAAGCCAAATCCACACTTCATCTCTAGTACAATCTATCTATCTCTTGACATAATCACAGCCAGTACTCTATGACTGGTCCCTAAGAAACTTTAGGACATAGTGTTCTCAACATAATTTGGAAACTAATTAATTACAATACAAAAGACTTCCTTATCAAAAATACATCCAAAAGCTACCTTTAAAAAATAGGCTTCCATTTTATATAATTAAAGAATTCATAGTCTTTGGATGGGTCTTTTATGATCACTTTTGCAAATGAAGAAACTGAGACATGAAGTATGTACTTGAAGGGAATTGACAAACTTTGTTATATTTACCCACTGGGTTCCATCTAATGGTGTCTACATGACCATCATAAAGAATGAGAACATGCTATACGAACCGAACTGGAAAGATTTTCAGAATATAATGCTAAAAAAGAAAGTTCCAGGCTGACCACCTTTGGCATCTCCAAATGTGAACCAAGCAGGTAATCATAATCAGAAATACAGAACAAAAGGTGGGAAACTTGCTTTGTCAAAATATCAAACCTGAATCTAATCAAAACTATATAGTGAAATTTCATTTGTGGGAAATACAACAAAAACAGGAACGATATAAATGACGGCATAAAGAAACAGACAAATTCAGAATGTAGACCATTGCTCAGGACAACTGATTTGTATAATCAGAGAATGTCAAGGGGAATGAAATGAAGACTGTCTTAGATTAAAAGAGACTTCAAGATACCACAACCAAGTGCAATGTGGGGAGCCTGTTTGGGTCTAGATTTAAATAAGTCAGTCCAATAAGGAGTAATCAGGAATACTTGATTATGGACTAAAATACAAGGTGCAGAAAGTCATCATTATTGTATTTATTTTGTGTGATAATGGTATTATGGTTATGTATTAGAATTTTCAGTGTTTTGAAGAAGATGCACACTGAAGTCTGTAAGGGTGAAATAACACGGCTATGATTTATTTTAAAACACTTCAGCAAGTAAAAGAGCAAAAAGAAAATACAAGGAGAAAATGTTTTTGTGGTATTCTATTTTGTCTAAATAAGAAGGGGGTAGAATGTGTATTTAATTTTCTGTGTTGTCCTTGTATATAAACAAGAGACTATGAAAGTGAAGACCTAAAGGGTAGGTAGAAGAAGTGGGGTAGACCTGGAGAAGTGGGAACAAGGCTTCTTAATATAAACTTTCTATACTGCTTTCCTTTTTTAAGCCATTTGAACATGTTACCTGGTTTGGATGTGGTTTGTTCTCCAATGGTTCATGTACTTGAAGCTGGTCCCCAGTATGGTGAAATTGAAAGATGGTAGGATCTTTAAGAGGTGGGACCTAATGGAAATTGAGTAAATCATAGGGGATATCACCCTCAGTACTTCTCACAGAACCCTGAGTTAGTTCTAGAGACAGGGTTACAAAAAGAGCAAGCCTAGTCCCTCACCTGGTGTGGCTTCCTGTCATACCATGTGACTTCTCTCTCTTACCCACTTTCCTACCATTGTGATGCTATCCAGATGAAGTCTTTACCAGAGCTGAGCCCATGTGGGGTCCTGAACCTCCAGAACTGGGAGCTACATAAACTCTGTTCAAGTCATGTAGTCTCTGGTATTTCATCAAAGGGACTCAACATTACTTAAACAGTTTTTTAAAAAAATAAACAAGAAGTAACTTAGTCAATCACAGTGGTAGCAGAGCTGAACTGCTACAAAGGAGACATGTTTTAGATAGTACTTGTACGTGGGCAAAAAACCCTTAAGGACTGTGTTGATGACTAATTGTACAACAGGTCACTTCAGTTTCTGTTCTGTGAAAAGTGTAAAGCACTTCAACAAAGAGATTCCAGGTAGATTACCCCTGTGCTGTCGATTGGTAGATGTAATACTCTGATTATGATGCTTAATAAGCGTGTCCTTAAAAAAACAAAAAATGAAAAACATGAAAAATTTCAGAAACAGGACCTTATGTGCAGGATAAAAAAAAAAGGAAAGGATTTGAGTAGATCTCTGGGTTCCTTTATGTGCACTCGTTAATAAATTAAATATTTTTTCCTCCTTTTTGATTATGTTATTGTTGGGGGTACATAATGACATTTACAAAAGTTCTTACGACATGTCATAGTTGAATATACATTAAATCATTAATGTTTTGTAAAGCATACAACTGTCATCCCAGCACTTAGGAGGCTGAGGAAGATTGAGAGTTGTAGGCCAGTGTGGGCTACATTGTGAAGCACTGTCTTCAAACCACCAAAATAAATAAATAAATAAATAATTTTCTAAAGTTGGTCTCAATCACAATTCTAGAGATAGACAGAAAGCAGAGTTTCCAGTGGCAAAAGTCTAGCAATTAAGGACTTGTGTTCTGATTCTAAATTGCCAATCCCATGCCTTGGCCAAGTCTGTCTGCTGGAGTTTCGCTTCCTTGTGTCTAAGATGAGAAAATTCACTGTGATTCCTGGACTAACTACCCTTCTGTGGTACTGTGGACATTCAAGCACTGAACAAGCAGGACATTACATCTGAATGACGGGGAAAATCAGGAAGATAAGGCATGGAGCAAGGCTACCATGTTTTCAAAAACCATCAGTCTCTGAGCTCACTTCCCTTTTGTGATAGATTAAAAAAAAAGTTTTGGTTTTTAAGGTATCAGATAAAAGTCATTCTCCCAGGGGCAAGAGACTTTGGGTTTGATATGTTACCTCAGTAATGAATGGTGTGACTGGAAAATGTTTTCTGACAATTCATTCCCGAACCTCTTGGGGTGAGGTGATAGGAGGTGAAATGAAAAGGAATTGACGTCCCTCAATTCCACCCAAAGTAGGGGAAAAGAAGCATTGCAGAAAGGAATATGCCTTTCCTAAGTGGAAGAGTTTGAAAGTTTGAAGGTGAAAGAATATTAGAGCATGGAGTCGTGCATATATCACCTGCACAATCTGCTCATTTTGTAAATTTTATAAATGAGGAAACTCAGCAAGGTTTTGGACACAGCCTAATGTGTGTTAGAACAAGGGTCAGAGTTAGGCTCATGATTGAGGTGGAAACAGTCCATAAATGTTAGGATAAGGAACACAGTCTTCATTGCTTTATTCCCCAGCTCCTAGTTTAGTACCGGCATAGAGCAGGTGCATCATGGTCACAGGCCGGACTGATGGACTGACTTGATTGAATGGACACATGAATGACACAGTTGGTTCCCTGTTAACCAGCCAGACTCATACACGGTCCATTTCCGGTCTATTTCATCTGAGATATTAGAGGGCTCTCTCTACTTTCCGTGACCAACGCTTTCTTCCTCTGAAATATTACTTCTTCTCTGTTGATGTGACAGGGTAAATATCAGAATGCTTACAGGATGTGGATGGTGCAGTGTAACAGAGAACTGGGGTTTTCTTTGAGGTGACTGCATATTTGCAGCCTTGATACAAGAATTATTGTAACCAGACACCTTGTAGTGTGGGCTGGTGCTCTGTGGGGGTGGCAACCACTCGTGATTGTATGGTACAGAGACAGTAGGAGGAAGTCCACAGTTCAATTGGAGAATTAAAACTGCACCTAAACAGAGCGGCCCTTTAGTTTTTTCCTCTGCAGAATCCATGTTTTCACATCTTTCCTTCAATTGTGTCCTGCTGCTACTGCTGCTCCTTTCAAGTAAGTGTGGGCATTTACAGTTGGAGAATGATATTTTAGGGAATGCAAGAGTGAGGTACAAGGATGATCTTAGCAATGTGGTTTGTAATAACCCAAGTTTGCAAGCAACCTAAATGTCCACCAGTGGGGGAGTATGTAAATAAATGTGACATATCCACGATACAGTGAGGCTGACCGCACATTCTGCTATAGAATACCTCCAAGCTATAATGCTATTTAAAAATCAAGGGGCAAAATAATACATATATCAGTCTTCCATTTGTGTGCATGTGTTGCTGGGAATATGTGGACTTTTTTTATGGATAGGTTTTAGGAAAGAGAGCTGGGAAACAGGAAAATGTTGGCAAAGAGTTGGTTTCCATACACATTTTATGCTCTTTGAATGTTTTACCATATAGGTGTATGTATATATACGTGTACATATATATGTTGTATAAAGGATTTCATTTTAAACCTCAAATCAACCTGTAAATGGTTTCAAATATGCGAACTTCTTATTTGGTCAAGCTTTTTATTTGATGTGTCTCGAGTGTGTGTGTGTGTGTGTGTGAGAGAGAGAGAAAGAGAGAGAGAGAGATAGAGAGAGAGATATTCACTCAGGATAGTCACCCCTGGTTGATGAATAGACAACTAGCCCAGATGGGTGGGACATTTTCCTGCTAACAATGACCATTTTCTGGTTGTCAGTTTCCATCAGCTCTGTCATTCATGTTTATGAAACTAGTGTCGAATTCTCCCCTAGGGTGGTGGTTCTGAAAGAAGGGCCCAGGACCCAAAAATGTGGAAACTGTGAGAAATATAAGTTCTTAGACTCCACCTCAAACCAACTGATGTAAACTCTAGTGGTTGAGCCCCATGATTGGTGGGGTTTTTGTTTTGTCTTGTCTTTTGTTTTTTGAGACAAGGTCTCATAGCCTAGGCTGGCCTAGAACTCTCCATCCTCCTGCCTCAACCTCCCAAGTGCTGGGATTATAGTTGTGTGGCAACACATCCACCACCCAGTGGTGTTTAACAAGGCTTCCTGGTGATTCTGATGCCTCTCAAGCTTGAGAGTCATGGATATACTGAATCATCCCCCAAGCAGGACAGCAGCAGTGGTTTCCTCTTTTTTTCTTCCATAAAGCATTACTTGTAGCCTTCCTGAAATGAATTAACCTCTCTCAGGGTCTTGCTCTTCTCTCTCTGTTCAGAGTCTTTGGACGGGGCATACACAGTGGAGATGGGTCAGAATGCCTATCTTCCCTGCAGCTACACTCCATCCACCCTGGGGAAACTTGTGCCTGTGTGCTGGGGCAAGGGACCTTGTCCTGTGCTTTCATGTCAGAATTTGTTGCTCAGAACTGATGAGAAGAACGTGAATTTTCAAAAATCCAGAAGATACGAGCTCAAGGGGAAATTACACAAAGGAAACGTGACCCTGACTATATTAAATGTGACTTTAGCTGACAGTGGGACCTACTGCTGCCGGGTAGAAATCCCAGGCTTAATGAATGATGAAAAATCAAATGTGGAGTTGATCATCAAACCAGGTGAGTAGACCTTTGTGTGCCTTCTGTGTGCATATAATTCACCTGTTAGTCATAAAGAATATACTGGTTGTTATTATCTCTGATCTCCCTAATATTAGTTCTGGGTGTTGGCCCTGAAGACCCAAAGTTTAACAGGCCCTACTTGTGATGCCTAGTGATGTTTAATACCCCCATGTGTTTTGAAACTCATGGATGGGATCTACAGAATGGGAAGAATAGCCTCGACCAGGGTTCAAGATCCTGATAGATCACTAGAATCACCTGAAGAGTGTTTGGCCACTATAACAGCTCAGGCCCACAAACCAGAGGAGTCATCATCTCTGAGGATGGAGTCTCAGCAGTATCTTTTTACAAAGACTACCCCATGCACAGCTGTGCATGTGTGTTGGGGTGTATGTTCTTGTATGTTCTCAGATTTATAGAGCACATACTTTGTGGCCAGATGAATCAGAGTTCTAATTCAACTCTGTTTCTTACTCTTTATATAGTCTTGGGCAAGATATTTCAACTCTATGACCTCCTCCTCTGTAAAATATGATAATAATACCTACATATAGGCCACTGGAAGGATTTATTGAGATAATATTTTATGTGAAGCTTTTAATATGGCCATATGCTAGTTCTGTAAGTTAGGCTGTAACAATGATGACTGTACCTTGCCTCTGATACACTGATACATAATGAAGGTGTCCAGGTATGTTGGGAAACTGAGGCTCTGTTTCTCTTAATTTACTGTCTTTCACGTGTTTTCTGCTACTCCATTTGATCTACTGAAACAAACTCGCTGCTTTCAAAAAAGCCTCATGCTTAATATTTGTTTCTGACATTAGCCAAGGTCACCCCTGTTCCACCTGCACAAAGAAACTTTACTGTAGCCCACCCAAGGATGCTGACCACTGAGGAACATGGCTCAGGTAAGACAGGGGCATAGGAGAAGCCCTTTAGCAGTTATCTGGAGTCAGAGGATTATGACCATGAGAAAAAGTCAAGGAAAACAGTTCAAGAATAGAGGCCTGAATGTTTCTCTGCACCTGAAGTAGAGTTTCAGATAAGGGAGGTGGTGGAGGCACACCTGTGTGTGTGTGAGGGAAGGCACCCTGAGTTAGGTTTCTGGATTAGCCACAAACCAGCCATGCGACTTGAGCCAAGGCCTTTCACTTCTCTGGATCTTAGCTTCCTCTTCTGTCCTAGGAATGGGTCCAGAGACCCCCAGATTTCCTGACCCAGTAAAACTCCACCCCTGCTCCTCCCTCTCCCAAAAAAATTTTTTGGTGACCTGTGTATTTTGCCAAATAAGGAAAGAAAAATATCCACTGTTGTCATCATTTCATTTAAAAAGGCAGTCTTTTAGTCTTTGTTTTACTTAAATTTTAACTTTAAAAGCTTTAATAAATTATTCTTCTATTTTACTTAAATATTAAGTAAATTTTATCTAATGAGAAACTCATTACGTGGTCTTCATTATTTTCTGATTTTCTCTTGAACTGGTAATGTTTCCTACAAATTGGTCCCAGTCCTGAGCTCTGAAGTATACCTGCTTTGAATCCTAGCTTTCTTAATCAATAGCTTGGTGACCACAGAGAAAGTAAATCTGTAAGACTCAGTTTCTTGCGAAGTGTGGTGGTACATGTCTATAATTCCAGCACTCATGAGGCTGAGGTGGGAGGGGGGAAATCTCAAATTCAAGGACAGCCTAGGCTACGCAGCAGGACCTTGTCTCAAAAGAACAAAAATAAGGAACTGGAGATGTGACCTGCCTAGCAAGACTGAAGCCCTGAATTCTAAATTCCAGAAGTTCCACCGGAAAAAAAAAAAAAAAAAAGTAAAAGAAAGAAAAGAAAAAAGGAGACTCAGTGTTTTCATTTGAAAATGGGAAAATAATCATATATCCTGTTGTGGTGAGCATTCAACAGGTTCCACAATCTATTCTGGAAAGTAGTTTGTAGTAGTACTAAGCACTTACTGGTGCTAAGCACCAGGTCTGACACTTAAGTGCTGAGGAGATGGTGATGACTACATTTGAATTCTGTTATGGCTGTCTCATCCCAAACCCACTGCCACCTACACTCCAGCCATGACGTGGGTTCCACAGGAAGAACATTCCAACTTCTTCTAGCTGCTCTACCCGCTTTGACTGATAGCCAAATCTGTGTGAAAATTAGCTGTGCCAGCACCACAGTGTTTCATTTTACAGATCATTTTCACAGCAAAATGAAATTCACAGGAAGTCAGTCTGGTCATTCAGACCAAGAATACTAGTTATAGGGAAGCAGAAGTTGGATTTTCATTTGAAAATATTATGTGTGCTCAAGATTCATGTTTACTTTATAGTTCCACACTGTGGTTTTTAGAGTTTATATTGCTTTCAGGGAATGAGAACACGAAAAGTGGACCATAACCTCTTTCGCATTTTTCCTTAGATAATTTTAGGCTGAGATTATGACTTTATAAAATTTAAATCATAGCCTGTTAAATTAGTATTTAGTTAAACACTTTATGCATTTCTAAGAGTTTAGACTTTGAGGGTATCAAAAGGTGATGGTGACATTTGAGGAGTTTCAAAATTTCTGACTCAGCCACAAAAATGAATTAGCACCTTTAATGTTCCCAAAGCTGACAAGAGTTTGTTTTAAAGAATGTAGGGTCTATAAGACCAAGGTCTGTGCCCATTCTGTTTGCTGTTTTGTCCTCTGTACTGGGTGTAGTGCACATTTGTTGAGTAAATGAGCAGATGAAGAAATGGACAAATGAACAAAAAGGGAAGATAATGGCTGGCAGCTGAGCAATGTGACCTTCCTCATAGTGGTGACAATGTCAAGGTGAGGGTTGTTGAAGTCAAAAGAGTTGGGAATGTGTGTTTAGAGCCATGTGCACCTAACTAGGAAGCCATTTCCATCACTCAGTAAGCTGTGTGGCCTGGGTAAATTATTTCTTGAATTCTCAGTTTCTTCCTCTAGCTATACTTACTTTAGGATAGTTATTTTGAATGCTGAATGAGATATTTCATTAAAAGAGTTGAACCCTTTCAAGAAAATGAATTTTTGTTGTCTTTCAAGGTCTAGTTAGAATATAATGACTGAGTGTTAGCAGTGTTACTGGATTGTTGTAGAATGCATTAGGGCCCCCTGGACAAAATAAAGTGCATATTCACCGCACTTTATAAAACATAGTAATGGGTGAAAAGATGTGGTCATCATGAAGTTGATTTGTAAGCATTCAGTACATTTTATTGGTCTCCCAATTTTTTTTTTTCATTTGGTAGCATTGGAAGTTGAACTCAGGCCTCATGCTTGCTTAAAGACATTCTACTTCTTGAACCACTTCATCAGCCCTTTTCGGCATTGGCTATTTTTGAGAAAGGGTCTCGCTTTATGCCTAGTCAACCTGTTCCTCAATCCTCCTATTTGTTCTTCCCTGCATAGCTGGGATGGCAAATGTGTACTACCATGCACAGCTATTGAGTGAGATGGGGGTCTGGTGAACTTTTTACCTGGATTGGCTTCCAACTGCCATGTTCTCAATCTCTGCTTCCCAAGTAGCTAAGCTTAAAGGGGTAAGCAACTGTGCCTGGCCTCCCAATGAATTATTGTGATGATATGGAGATGAAGTAATTTCAAATAGGATTATAGACATCTTTAAAGTTTTTCTTTAACTCATATGAAAAACATCTTAACTACTGGCTGTTTTTCCTCCTTTTGCATGCATCTTGTGTGTATAGCTGAGACACAGACACTGGGGACCCTCCATGATAAAAATCAAACAGTAAGTGACTTTTTGTGTGTGTGCTAACATTGAGAAAAGAAGTTTGGTTCTAGACTTCTTTCAAGGTCACCCTTTTCTTGGGGAAAAAGCCTGGCCTCCCTCAGCTTCAGAGTCCACAGCCATAGCCTGTTCTAGGGAATAGGCCATTGGAAGGATGGAAGGAGTGTGTGGCTCATGATAAGTGATGGAAAACCAAAAAGAAGAAACACCAGTGTTCTGTCCTCTTTTCAAACATCACAACAGAAGGTTCAACGACTGCAGTTTAGAACACATTTCATCTGGCTTTCTTTGCAATCCTAATGAGAAATGTTATTTGTTGGCTTAAATCTATTCATTTATATAATCACAAGCTATAAATCAAGAACATGCAAAGCCAAGATTTAGGTATTTTACTATAAAACAATAGTTCATTTTACCACAATCTTAATGTTTCTTACCCTCATGGAGCAAAAGAAAAACCACTAGGAAGAAATCTCGAGGATGCCATGTATCCAGGAGTCTGCATTCATTTGACTCAGTTTCTCTACTTATATTCACAACCTGTGCTCAGCATATTTGGTTTGTTTCTCTCTCTTGGCAATCAAGGACCATCTTTAAGTACTTCTGTGGGCCCACAATGCTTGGTGGTGTTGAATAAATGAAAGATTTAACTTATTTGACCTCTTTGTTTTTAAAGTATTATTATAATTGTTTTTAAAGGAAGAATATAAACTGAAATTTTAGAAACAGAAGGAATTTTTGTGTCTCTCAGTTATCAGAAAAATTAGAGTAACAGCAATTAGCTACAGTTGACTGAATTTATCATGTACCAGGCCTAGTGCTAAGCATTTTGTATTTTTTGTCACTTAATTTTCCCAATAACGCTACATAGTCACTGAACTCTTGATAATGGAGTCCACATTTGAACCCAGGACTGTATGGCTGCAAACCCTGGTTCTTAAATCACTACTTTTCTATGCAAATAGGGATTTCCCATCAAAACATCAAATGCAGACCCCTCTGAAACCCCCAGGGAATACAGGATCTTGAACCGATAGGACTCCACTCTAAAGCCCATGGAGGAGGATGTGGTAAAGAGCCCCTTCTGCACCTGCAGAAAGAAGGGAATACTTTATTTCTTTGTTAACTCCAGGGTTGAAGCTCATTAATTTCTTTGGTGGTGAGAGACTTGTCTAGAAGGGGATAGATCAAGAGTGGTTTTTTGGTCCCTGCAATCCTGTGAAGCCAGGAAAGGGATGATCTGATTCATAAATCCCCAGACTGGCTGAGCACATAGCTGATTTCTGTACATTTGTAGCTTGAACTCTGTTTGTCTTTCTCTAGCAAAAGTCTACACTGGCTAGTGAGTTCCAAGACTCCAGAACAACTACCAGCACAGGTGTCTCCATGAGAGTAGGACTCTCTGCTGGACTGGCTTTCACATTCATCTTCAGTGCTTTTATTCTCAAATGTAAGTATTTCAGCAGCACTCCTCTCTCCCTCTGAGGAGGAACTGTTCATAGAACCACTATAAGCCTAGATAGAAATATGACTTTATAATTGTACCTAAAGTTGATTAGACGAAGTACCATTTGCTTCTCCAAACCCTAAAAGTAGTGGTAGCCATCAATTCCTCATTGCTTCCATGAATCAGACAGGGACTGTGCTAAGTATTTTATGTATATCTTGTCTTCATTTCATAAGGTAGTAGAATTATTATCCTCATTTCACAGTGGAGGAAAGGGAAGTTTAGAAGGAGTAAGCCACTTTCCCAAGGATTCAGAAACAGCCAGGTCTGTGGCCTTACCACCCTGAACACTCCTGGTCTCATCGTCAGAATCAGCAAGACACGAGGCTGGACTGAATTCCAGGCATACGATCCCAGTACCTGGTCTGCACATCTTTTGTTAAGAAAGCTCATCTTTTGAGTTTACCAATACATCTAGGCTTATTAGGAAGCACAACAAAATCTACCTCTATCTGTGTTTCTTTGCTTCTGTGTTTCTATATTTGTTTCTCTGGCAGAACTCCTTAACACTGATCAGGACCAGGGTTGCAGTTCTTGATTTCCCCCATCCCGGCCCTCAGATGCACAATTTTTTCTAGGTTACTTACCTTATTGAAAAATATTCTGAAACTGTAATTGGAAAAAGTATGAAGTATAATTTATGTACAGTAAACTGCATACTTAAAGTCTGTTCAATTTGATGATTTTACTCAGAAACCATCACCCCACTCAGTATCCAAATAATTCCTATCATCCCAAAGCTTCACACACTTTTCTGACTGTGATACATTCTCTTTTCTTTGGGGACAGAGGCAAGACTTTATACCTTAGAGTTAAACACATTTTAGCTGCCTTTCCTACTAACGCACAACATGGACTATGTGTGTAGTGTTACCAACCATCTCAGATTTGCATAGGACTGAAGGGGTTCTAAGATATGGGATTTCCACTGGCAAAACTGGGCCAGTGTGGGGAAAACCAGGAAGAGTTGGTCACCCTAACTGTGGCCAGTGCTTTAGGTAGATCAAATCCTCTACCCTGTGTGACTAACACCAGCATTGTTCCAGCAGATGATCTGCAGGCTGGCAGGTTAAGTAACTGGCTCAAATTTGCACAGTTAATTGATGGATATAGGATTTGAAACCAGGCCTGTCCAGTTTTTCATCATTGTTTTCTGCCATTATCAATAAATGGATTGTTCAGAGAAAGAAAATAGCCTGCCATCCTCACTTACCAGGACTTACCCAGTGATGGCAGTAGACTTTGGGAACTGATCACATGAGTATGACGTCTAGAGACAAGAATTAGGGAGAAATGATAACACATGCTACTTTTTCTTTAAAGTTCTACCAAGGCCTATAAGTTAGACGATTCCAGTTTACATAAAAGTAAAGAGGCACAGGATATATCTGATGCTTTGTCCATGCACACACAGCATCGACTCTCCACTCACAGTCCACATCCATGGGTTCAACCAGCCTCAAATAAAAAAAATTTGTATTTGCATTGACATGTGCAGATTTTTTCCTCATTCCCTGAATGAGTTAGTCAGGGCTGGGATGTAGCTCGGTGGTACAGCACTTGCCTAGCATGCGTGAGGCCCTGGGTTCGATCCCAGCACCAAAAAAGAAAAGACAAAAAAAAAAAACCTCTCCCCTAAATGAGTTAGTCAACAACTATTTTATAGTGTTTACATTGCATTAGGCATTACAAGTAATCTAGATCTGATTCAAAGTAGATGGTAGGGTGTGCTTAGGTTACATGCAATATTATGCCATTTATATTTGGAACTTGAGCATCCTCAGATTCTGCTGTCCATGGACAGGGGTGGAGGGTTTCCTGGACCCAACCACAGTGGATACAGAAGACAACTGTGCGTTTTTCCCAAAGCATAGCATGGCTGTTTAGAAGAAAGTTCTGTTCAATTTGCACTTTTGTTCTTGGAAGTTGCTGGAGAAAATCTTACAATTGAGGTGGTAGGTTTTTAAGTCATGACCTCACAGGCACAAATTGGCTCAGTAATGCCCAGCAATGCTATATCTTTTTAGTGCATTCCCTGAGATGGCCTTCCACACCTCACTGTTGCGCACACCTCTTTTACCCATCTCTCAATTGCCCATCAAAAGTCTATTTCCTTTGCCAAGATTTCAACCCTCTTTTTATCCTTTTCTTTTGAAGAGTATTTCCTTTTCTGTTTATGATATTTTCAATAGTCCAAACATTCCTTTCTAGCTACTCCCCTCCCTCCTCACTCCTTCACAGCCATATATCTCAATTGAGTTACTTCTTCCTACCCTTAGTACTCTCCCCATAACCTTGGGTCTGGGGTTTGAGCTTAGGGCTTCACTTGCAAAGCAGGCACTCCACTTGAACCACATCTGCAGTTCCTTCCCTTTGATGATTTTCTACATGTCTTAGAATAAAATCCAAATTCTTTTTTTTTTCAAATAAAAAAGTTTTAAAATCCAAATTCTTGATTATGGCTGAAAAGGTCCTCAGATTACCTCTCAGACTTTATCTAGGGTGTTTCTCTCTCATTCTAGCCATGGTTTTGGTTTCAGGCACTCGCTAAGATCTTTACTAGGGGTTTCCTCTTCCTGGAATACTAGGCTCTTGACACAGCTGACTCATTCTCTTCTTTTAGAACTGAACTTAAATGTCTTCTCTGAGAGCGCCTCCCAGACCACCTTCTCTGGTATCTGTTTCAGTGTGGTGTTGGTTTTTTTCATAACTCACCACAATTTGAAATTATTTCATTTGTCTTCTTTCTCTCTATCTGTCTTTCTGTCTATCTCTCTTTCTATCTCTCTCTTTCTTTCTGTCTCTCTCTTTATTTTCTCCCTAGCTAGAATGCAAGCTTTGTGTCCCAGGTGCCTAGCAATGAGCCAGACACATAGACAATGCCTTACGTGGCTCAAGTGGTAGTAAGCGTGAGGCCCTGAGTTCAAACCCCAATACCACCAACCCTCCCAAAAAAATACCTCCCCAAAACAACAATGTACCTTTGCTGTTTTCTAGTACAGTCCTAAAACACACATTGGGAGGTCAATTTAGTTCAATCTAAGCTGAGGCCAGAGTTTCCTAAACAACTCTTGTCTAGTGAGCCTATTTTATTTTAATCTCACTTATTTTATAAAAACTCTTTTTTTACTTCTCTTCCCCATTTACGTAGGGTATTTTCATAGGAAGAAGAAGTTGCAGAACTTAAGGTAAGAATAATGGAGGGGGTGGGGCAGTCTCAGAGGTGTGGCTTTATCTTTGCTCTGAGACATGCTGGCCTGGGGATTTGGGATCTGAGCCTGAACTTCCCTTGCACTCTTGCTAATTATGAAGTGAAAACCTAACATGCTGCTCTCTTTACTCCCTGATATGTCTAACTTCCTTAGTTCTAAAGTGAAGGAGTATAATTTATCTTTCTAATATTAAGAAATGCTTACTCTAAATTAATATATATTTTTTCCAATTAACTGAGCCTTCAATGGATTGACACCTACCATGTCCAGGGAATTGAGCTGGACATTGGTGTGACCAAAGTGAACAAGGAAACCAGAATCTCCTGTCAGGGCTTTCATAGCCCAGCCCGGGTGATCTCGGCTCTAATATCGAAGTAGGATCACCTGGACACTTAACACAGGCCCAGCCCTGGAGCACATGAGTGGGATCTCGGGGATGCAGCCAAGAGGCAGCTTTCTGAAAGCTCTCCAGGTCACTCTCCTGAGAGTCACCAGGAGAGCTTTCAGAACTGTCATGTAACGCTCAGCCCTGGCTCCTGTGTGCACATCCGTTCCCAGCAGGCACAGACTGCGTAATTATTACTGGAGTTTCCAGTTTTCATGATCTTTGGTTTCTGAAGAGAATATATATTTTAAGAAAAAAATGAGCATCATTGAACACTACCTAAACCACTAACCTTTCTAGATGAAGTAAAATATGGTATATTATAAAGACAAAATAATGAGCAGTAAAAGTCACATAAGTCAAAGAAAACAGTCAATTATCACCAAGCCCTAGTGGCTTACACCTGTAATCCTAGCTACTGAAGAGGCTGAGATAGGGAGAGGATCAAAGTTCGAGGCCAGCCCCGGCAGATAGTGCTGGAGACCCCATCTCCAAAATAACCAGAGCAAAATGGATTGGAGGTATGGCGCTAACAGTAGACTGCCTGCTTTACAAGCGTGAAGCCCTGAGTTCAAACCCCACTTCCACCAAAACAAACAAACAAACAAACAAACAAAAGATTCAATTGTCAGTACTGCTATTCATGATTAGAGCTGGAACTTGGAAATGTAACATTCATAGGGAACATTTCAACTCATTACTTGTGAAATTATGTGTTCATGTCCATCTTTCCCTATTAATTGTAAACTTCATAGAAAATGAGGAGCTTGTAGTCCATGTCAATAGCTGTCTCCCCGGCATGGTGCCTAGTGTCTGTCAATAATAAATATTAATGACTGGATGAATAAGAACTCTTTTCAGCAGCACTGTGAGGTAGGGCACTCGTTATTCCCATTTCACAGAAGAGAATACTGAGACTCAAAGTTTGCTAATACATAACCTCTAAAGGATTTTTGTTTTTCATTTGCTGCTGCACAGAGCAATGTGTACCACACGAAGTATTTCTTGGATACACATTTAAAAAAACCCAATCTCCCCAAGTCACAAGGCTGGAAAGTCACAGAGAATTCAAACTCAAGTCTGATCGTGTCTATACTTATTTCTTTCTCTTTTTTCCTTCTAAATTGTTCAAGTCCATAGAAGAACTGGAATAACAACCTAGGAACAATACAGCTCTTTACCTAAATTTCTCACATGGCATCTTGGCACAACTGCCTTATCTGTTTCTCAATTTGCACAATGTTTTGGTCTGAATCATTTCTAAGGAACTTACAGACGTCTTGACAGGTCACCTAAACACTTTAGTTTATAACTCCTAAGAATGAGGGATATATGGTTCTTCTTGTATCTCAGAAAATCAAGATTCATTCAAATTGCATTAGTTCCCCAAATTATTATCTAGCTTCCCCCAGTCAGCATCTGATCAAGGGTCATGCCCTTCCTTTGGTTGCTGTCTCTTCAGCAAAGCCAATTCTTTGAACTCTCTTCTGTGTTCCCTGGCAAATACTTAAATCAACTAAAACATTTTATTTTCACAGCCTCATCACCCTGGCCAACCCCTCTCCCTCCGGGTTAGCAAATGCAGCAGCAGAGGGGATGCGCTCAGAGGAAAACATCTACACCATCGAGGAGAACACCTATGAAATGGAGGATCCCTACTACTGCTATGTCAGCAGCGAGCAGCAATGCTGACCGCCTCTGGATTGTCACCTTTCAACGCCATTGAATCCAACTTCTTCATTTTTGACCTTGACATTGTCCTTTGCGAAAACGATAAGAACACATCAACTGAGAAGTTTGAGAGATTCTGTCTACAGCCACTAAGAACAACGTTTCTATTTTCTGAAGATAATTAGCTCATATGGGGATTGAACTGTGACTTCTGCTGAATTTAGACAGGCACAATTCCAGTCAACAGGGCCATCCAACCCACAGGCATGTTGGCACAAAATTGTGCTTTTATAAAGATTAGGAGTTCTTGATGTGAGGTCTTTGGAGCTCCAGGAGTTTCATGATGCATCCATGAAACTCCAGAAAATGTAGGAAAATTGTGTGTTTAGATACTCATGTTTCTTTCGGGCACAGGAAATCTAAAGGGACCATGATTTTCACGGCAATCTGTGGTCATGGCAGGTTAAGAAAGGACAGGAACAGGACTACAGGATCTAGAAGCTTCCCTCTGAGTCTCCAAGTCCATGCTTCTCTGAATGTTGCCTCTCCAACAGTGGGCACCACCACACACCTCCCCTTGCTCACAGGTCTATGCGGAAAGAAAGCACACGTGTGTGTGGCCAAGTTTTTCTTGTGCTCTCAAAGGGAAAGATTCTGACCAAGTTCACCATACATGGAGAAAACTGGAGCTGTATTTTCCATAGAAGAAAATCCAGTGACTAGGATGCAAATTCTGTTTCCTGGTAGAAAGAAGACAAAGGCCTCCAGAAATCTGCACTGTTGGCATGAGACCCCTTGAAGGAAAGACACTGGTCCCCGAGCTTAAATTCCAAGATGGTAGAGATTAGGTTTGTCTTGTTTTTTGCTGTATCCCTAGTGGTTGGCCTGGCCTGGCTCTGATACATACTAGAAACGTGCTAAAAATCTTCACAATGAAAAAATTAAGCAGAAAGATGAAGTTTTCTAGAAAAATTTCCTTGAAGAATTCAGACAGAGCATGACTACAGCCTCAGTTCTTGGAGAACCCACAAATACGCCCCATGTCTGCTCTTATCCAGGTCAATGTGTCCTTTTGTTTTCCAATGTCATCTCCCACTGCAGGCTCTTGGCAGTCTGTCATCTTTTCTGTTTCCCTCTCTATGCTGAGTCCTCCTTAGCATATAAAGAAAAAATCAACAAAAAGGACCTGTCCCAGCCTGAAAGTGTCCCTCCCCAAGTGAGGCCTGAATTGCCACTGTTTGGCATGAGAAGAAGTCGGTCATGGAGGACGCAGACAATTTGTGTCTAGAGATCCTTCCAGCAGTCTTGCATGACTTACAGCGTTTGGGCTATATCTAGATAGCCTGGGAGGGCACTGGCTTTCTGTAGGTAGATATATAAGGGACATAATTTCATAAAATTAATTATAGGCAGCAGTTCTCCTGCAGGCTAAAAAGTTCATCACGAGTGTTTTAAGTTCATAAAATTCTAGTAGGAAAGAATCTTAGAACATATTTATTTAGACCAGGGCAATGGTTCTCCTGCAAAAAAAATTCTTATCCCACAAAAATCTTTTAACGAGAATGTGCGCACAGAGAACTACCAAAATGTTTGTAAGAAACTTTTTACATCAATAGGGAAATAGTTCATTACATGGTACAGTTAAAAAAAAACTGGGCAGTTCCTTCCTCCCTCCCCCGCCCTCCCTCTCCCCTCCAACCCTTCTCTGCCTTTCTCTTTCCTTCCTTCCTTTCTTCCTCCCTCCTTTCCTCCTCCCTTGCTACCTTCCTTCCTTCCTCCCTCCTTCCCTCTCTCCCTTTTCTTTCCTTTCTTTTCTTTCTTTCTCTTATTAGGTGGTTACCAGAAGCCTGGTACTTTGCTTGGTTCTGGGACTACAGAAAGGACCAAACAGATACATCCCTGGTCCCGTGGAATGTCTAGTTGACCTGTCAGGAGGAAGATTCATGTCCATTTATTTACTGGACACTTATTAACAAGTACTTTGTGCCAGACACTGTTCTAGTCTAGCCAAGAATGGAGCAGTCAGCACTGCCTGCCACAAGCTTTTCCTACTTGTCAGAGGAGACTGCTGTATTTTTTTTAAAGTTCCATAATAGTGTATATGAGTAATGATTTTTTTGCCTCAAAAATGTGGAAAAATGTATCAGAGTTAATATGGTTACACCATGGGGACAAATGGCTGAAACAGACATTCACTTTTTCCTTTTACACACTCCCATTGTAATTTGAATGAATTCTCCCACTTTCTTTTTTATAATAAAAATGAATTTAATCAATGGTTTCCTGTCTGCTGTCCTCTTTATAAAAAGAAATGTAGACCTAACTAGGTTAAGGTTAAGGTCAAAGTCAGCAGACTGTGGTAGTAAGTCAGGACTGGAACCCAGGTTTCTAGGTTAGCATTCACTCTACATCAAGTGTTTGGAAGAGAGAAGATGGCACAGAAAAGAAGGAGGAGGAGAAGGAAGAAGGAAGGAGGAGGGGGATGAGGAGGAGAAAGAAGAGGAGAAAGGGAAAGGGGTGTAGTTACTCCAAACAGTCCAGGAGACAGCAAGTGGTAACTTAAAGAATTGAACACTGCAATAGGACTGCATTTGTGGTTTGCCCTTGGAAGTACCTTAGCATTTTTTTTTCCAGAGCTGCCAACTGAGACCCCACAGGTTCAGAAAAGAGAAGGTTTCTTGATCTTTTTAGATTGAAGGAAGTAAAATCTTACCATGTTTTATCTGCTCATAACTTCTAAGTTTGGAATTCCCAGTGCAGAAAATGTAAGCAGTTCAATCATTCCTTAAATGATTCAGATAGCATCAAATCAATTTATATAACCAAAAATTGGTTTCCTCTTTTAAAATAAATATACTATAAGAAGATGTTTTTATGGCAATATATTATTGATCTTTTAAAAACCATTTAAATACATTTAATAAAATGCAATGCACCAATTTTGAGCATACAACTTGAATTTGACAACTATATACACCACAAACAAGATATAAAACATTTCCACCATTCCCAATTCTTTTTGAAGTTCAAATGGTCCTCATGCCTTCTCCTGAAGGTGATCTATTGATTTAAAAAAATAAAACTGGAAACAAATTAACTTTGTTCTGAATTTTTATCAAAAAAAGTCTGGATCCTTCTGGTGATAGGTAGAAATGTCCTAGAGCAGTCCTTTGTAAGATTTTCTATCAAGATGGCAGCTGTCCATTTTCTTGAGTGGTTCTCAAAGTCAAGGAAGGCTTGGATTTTGGTTACTGTTCAGTGGAGAGCCTGTGCAAGGGAGAAGTATGAGTCAGAAATGTTAATTCAGGCTTCTAGACACTCCAAATCCTCTCAACCACATTTACTGTCAGTATGAGTCATGTCAAGTCACTCATCTCAATGATGTCCTAGAAATGTGTGTGCTAATCCCTTCTGTTTATGGCATGACTTTCTTTTTCCAGAGAGACTAGTGAGGTTTTGTTTTGTTTTTTTTTTAATGATTATTTATGGTATTTATGTGTGGTGGTGGGGCATTTGTTTAAATGTGCACATTGTGTTAATATGACAATTGTTTTTGGGGTGGGTCACATTTGAGGAATATTTCATTGAGGCTTTAGATTACATTCTTGCAATCTGCTATATGACAAGTTGTCATTTGTGACTTCTACATTTTGTTATTTATACTTTTTCATTCATTATAAATCTAGCTCATGTAAAACGGAAACATTTTACACTCTAATGTATATTTACCTTCTTTTGGTTAGTTCTGAAATATCCGCATAGCTATTTATCTTTATCTAATGTGTTTTTAATTTTATTATCTGCAGTTTTCCTTACCATTACTGCTCAATTTTATAGTCAATTTAGTTCTAGTTAGTAAAAAGTTTAAAGTTGCACAAATACAGGTGAGAATGTTCTGATAATAATGTAGAAATCTGGACGGATTTCTTTATCCCAGAGTTCACTGTTAGATCTTAGAAAAAGTCTCTTGATCTCTTACTGAGTAAGCCTGAGGGTTGAAGTGAGGCTCCAA